TTCTTGAAGGAAGTCCACCAATAGAAGCGCGCAATGGCGCTATGGTTCCGCCTACACGTTAAGCGTGGAATGCACTGCAAAGACTAGTGGGAACGGTAAATCCAGTTTCAATTTTGAAATGGCAATTTCAGGATTCATATTGCTGTGCACCGATCGACACGACTGGTCCCAATTTGCCAGATCCCTTCCCTGTCTGCATATCCTATGCGGAAAATGCCTAGCGAACTTCCAACTATTCCAACCGTCCCACCAACAAACCCATATGCCGGTATGTCACAGACATTCCCCGGTGGACCAATTGCACCCGGCATGGGTCCTGTGGCGATTCCTGATCCGATTCCAGGAGTGCAGCCAGACAAGGCAAGTTACTGGTCTCGTTCCGTCACTTCACTTTCTAAGCCGTCTTTTATTTTCAGATTCTTCCTCCTTCGCTCGCTACAAATATGAACCTCAACGGTAATGGGAAACAATCTACCTCCAACTCTGGGTTCAAATATGAATTTCAATGGGAACAACTTCAACTACAACAATAATGGATTCGGTTTCGCAAGCCAGAATATGAATGGCTTCACGAATAATCAAGCTCCTATAGGGGTGTCACTAGGTGGCGTCCCATCGGATATGGCTTCGCAAGTTATCGACAGAGTCCTTGGACAAGTATCCGGCCAGAACGTGAACTCTGGAAACAATCCGTACTTCGTGAATAATATCAATAACAACCAGCCAGCTGCTGGACAGATTTTCAGTGGACAGTGGTCTACTCCAGATCACCAAGCGTTTACTGGTTGCCCGTTGGGATCGAGAGCTTTAGTCAGGTCCGACCGCAGCGTTGTGACGTGTCATGATCAGTCTTGTCCAAATGGATTCTGGTGTGTATTTGCTGAAAAGGTGAGGGTGTTTGTGGTTTCACACCAATTTGCTCATGTGAAGAAATTCACGATAACAGTTCGGTAGGGCACAATGCATATTAGTAATGAGAGGCTATTGTCGGTCCCCTGTAGTGCTTAAAGGCAAGATTCAGGATTGAGTGAGGTAATTCCACTCAAATGTGAAAGTAGGGGTAGGAGGTGGACCGCCAGTGGAGAAAAAGGAAAAAAATCGTGAAATACACAGGAAATACGAGCCTTTTGCTCTACGCTGCGGAGAAGTTCAAAAGGCCGGCAGGGAGATGAGAGATAATGTGAGCGCGGAGAGCGCTAGAGAAGTCGAGTAGAGAGAGCATAGCAGATCAACATTGCGACGCAGACAAGATATCGAGCGGTGGGCGGAGCGTGTCGCAGCAGGTGGAGCGTGTCAAAGTTCTTAGCGCCTAGCGTCTAAGTAACGCTTTTCGAAGTAGGAAGTGACGCGACCTCTACACTTGCGTACCTAGCGCTTCTAGCCACCGTATAGGCTCATTAACCCATAACGGACGGCCAGTGTATTTTTCGCGTGCGCCACCATGTGGCGCACGCCGCCACCAGGGTAGGGTTTATGTAGGCTTATGCGAACAGCAGGGTTAAGACGGGGCTAAAGTAGGTGTCCGTGTCTCATCATCCAAAAGAAGAGATTTCCGTTGACGACAAGTTCGTAACCCGCCTTTTCCGCTCTAAAACTAGGGTGCAAAGAATGAATGGAAGCTGTAGGTGACATTATCGAAAAATGCGAAACAACAACCCCGAGCAAGGATGTGGCTATATTTAGGGGAAGGGGTCTCGGGACGTGTGAACCATGGGTAAGCCACCCATCAAATAGTAAACTTATGTAAATTAAGACAAAATGTATGTAGTCCGGCAAAAAAACTGAAACAATGACCACATCGTTTTGCTTAAATTGAAATGAGATGGGATATCACAGTCTTCATGGAACTCACCTTTGAGACATTTATCTTCGATAAGGAAGAATCCTGGTGGACATTCTACTGGAAGTGGTGGGGCCCTTGGCATGTCAGTAGAGGACGCCTGGTTAACCAATGACGACGGAATGGATGGCGTTTCCGGTCGCTTCAATAAGTTGAACATCGGAGATGAAGAGCAGCATTGGAAACGATTCTCCTAAAAACAACTTTTTCAGTTCGAATGGCGCTGCATCTGAGAACGTATCCGTAACCTGTTTGCCATTGGAAAAAAAACAGAATGAATCTGCATGAGCTTCGTAAGTAATAAAGCCTAATAGGATAAGGGTCAGAAATCGACACCTTCACCAACGCGCCAGCTAACCATTTTGCGAGCTAGCCGTACGGAAGCCGTGCAAATCCAATCTTCGAGCCTATAACCCTTCGCCCAAGTCGAAGTCCGCTGTCATCCAGTTCGACTCTTGTCGGTAGGTGTTGGTCAAGAGGTCCACCTTGCAGCGCCCATAGGAACTAGCACTCCACGCAGATAGCGTCGCGACGGCTCATCATCGTTGCCCCTGTAGTGTTTAACCGCAACGTGAGCCTGCTGACACAGAACGCAGTGTCCCAAATTTGCCTAGCCGGAGCGCTCTAAATGAGATCACTCTTCCACTATTCAGTCAAATAGTGCTGCAGACAAAATACCGC